GACTTTCCACCACGGGGAATTTCTCAGGCAGTTGACCTGAATTCCCACCATGAGGGCTGCTCTTTTGAGAATCGGACCCAAGCGGGGGACACCTTCCCTGAAGCCCGCAGGGTTGATGGTGGTCCAGGCAGGAAAGGGTATCTTCAGCACCCACATAGTACAACTCCTGTCTGGGACTAGGTGCTCAGGTCAGGCCTTAAGGACTGCTTAGGCCGCAAGAGGGGGACAGAGGGACTTTAGGTCACCACTGGGCTCACACGGGAGCTCTGGATGCCTGGTGTGTGGTGTACAAATGGGCCTCTTGGGTTGGGTCACAGAGATTCAAGGGTAGTGCCCCACCATGGCCCTGAATGTGACCGTCCCTGTTGAGAAAAGGGTCATCCCAGTGGGTCTCCTGGAGCCTGGTCATGGGGTGGCGTTGTTTTCTGGGGGTTAGGTCAAGGCAGAGCTCTGGCTGGCACCTGGTGGTATTGCAGGTCAGCCCTGGGACTTGTGGGCATCGGGCCAAGGGGGAGCCCACATCCCGCTGCAGGTCACCCTTTTTCCAATAGCAGGTGTCTGGAAGGGTGGCCTCCTGAGGTGGGAAGGCCCGCTGTTGAGGGACCTGTCCCGGCAATTTGTCTCTCAAGCTTCTTCTGAGCTTTGGGGCCACATCCAAGGTGCGAGGTCTTGGGCCCAGGCAAAGGAGAGGGCTCTATGTGGGTCTTCATTGGCCACATGTGGCTGGCTCTGTGTGTGGGAGGTATACAGAGTATGGATGGGGACCCACCTGAGGAAGCAAGTGGCCCTGTGGTGTGATTTCTGTTTCATTCTTGGAGAGGATGCCTGGAGGCACGCTCCCCACACCCAGGGAAAGGCTACGTGACTGCCAAGTCTGCGCGGCTTGTGGCATCTGGGCAGGCTTCCTTCATTGGCCGTGTCCTGGATGGTGGCCAGGGTCTGTGCCCAGTGGTCCCAGGGCAGCCCTGGGGTGATGCAGGGGAGCAGTTTTGGACAGCAGAAGTGCTCCTGGGGTCTGCAGTACAGCACTGCCTGGGCATTTTGCTCAAGCCCAGTGACCCACCTGCCCTGTCCTCTCTGGATTCGGTGGAAGGGAGGGCCGAGGGCGAACCCCATTCTTGACGGCTCAGCATTTAACATCAAAGTCATTACACGTGTCCATGGAGGGGGAGCAAGGGTGAGCTGGCACCCCTACCCCCTTCCCCGCATGGAGGTCAGTTTGGATACACGTCCTCCTCCTGTCTCTGCAGATGGTGATCCCGGAGGAAAACTTGGGTTGGGTCTGCTGTCTCTGGGCCAACGTCAGTCACACAGGTGCCCGGCCCACAGTGTGCTGAAGCTCGGGCCCTTCCTGGAGCGCTTGGCTCCTGCACTGAGCTGTGGTGAGCCCATCTGTGTCCTGCTGGATGCATGCGTAGGGAGGGGGGGTGCCCTGCGTTGGGTCGATGATGAGAACCTTATATTGTTCTGAAGAGAGGTGATGACTTAAAAATCATGCTCAATAGGATTACGCTGAGGCCCAGCCTAAGGGAGGATTGTGGAAGAGGTTGCTGGGATTCTGAGGTCTCCAGCAGAGCCACTGTATTTTGGGCTGGAGCCCTGGAGGCCCTGAAGGGCATCTCTGGGGTGCCCAGCCCTGTCTCTGCGCTCCTACATGAGGCAACCCAGGCTCCCTGTGTTGACTTAGTATCCGGGCTCTGGTCCCTGGGGGCGAAGCGCATTGGAGGCTCCTTCCTGAGCCCCTGTTCTCCCCCATGTCTTTCAGTGAGCTCTTCTGCCCAAGTGGTCCCCCCTGAAATTGACCGGCATAGGTGAGTGGACCCTGCTGCGGTCATGGGACATTAGCCAGACCATCTGGAGTTACCGAGGTTCAGACTTGAGGCCATGAGGGTTTTCTCAGGCAGCTGACTTGAATTCCCACCTGGGAAAGATGAATTATTCAGGAGGGCCGTTTTTCGGGAATTGAACCCAGGGAGGATGCCTTCCCTGAAGCCCTGCAGGGGTGATGGTGGTCCAGGCAGAAAAGGGTTCCTTCACTGCCATGTAGGGTAGCCTCCAGCTGAGACTTAGTGCTCTGGTCAGGCCTTGACGACTGCCCAAACACATCAGGGGGGCCACAGGGACTCTGGGTGTCATGGGGTCACATAGGAGCTTTCAGTCCCTGGATTGTGGGGTGTGGATGGACCTGTAGGGTTGGGTTGTGGAGATTCGAGCATCGTGCTTCGCCCATGGCCCTGAATGCGACTGTCCCTGTTGAACAATTTGCCATCCTGGTGGGTCTTCTGGAGCCTAGTTGAGGGCAGCATTGTTTCCCTGGGGTTGGATCAAGGTGGAGCTCTGGCCAGACCTGGTGGTGCTACAGGTCAGCCCTGGGACTCTCGGGCCTTGGGCCAAGGGGCAGCCCTCATCCTGCTGAGGGTCATCCTATCTCCGAGGTTGAATGTCATGAAGGGTGGCCTCCTGAGTTGGAAAGGCTTGCTGTGAAGGGACCTGTGTCATTTTGTAGCTCAGGGTGCTTGGGAGCCATAGTGTCAGCTTCAGAGTAGTAGAGTTTGTGCCCAAGCAAAGGAGAAGGCACCATGTGGCTCCCAGTTGGCCACCTGTGGCTGCCTGTGTGTGTGCGAGGTATGCGGAGTATGGATGGTGACCCACCAGAGAAAGCACGTGGCCCTGCAGCCCCACGCTGTGACTTCTGGTGCACGCTTGCAGAGTGTCGCTAGATCTAGATGCGCGCTCCCCACACCCAGGGTAGGCTGTGTGGCTGCCAGGTCTGCAGCAGCGTGTGGTCTCTGGGCCAGCCTTCTTGGTTGGCCATGAGTGGCTGGTGGCCCTGGCCTGTTCCCAGTGGTCTTAGGGAAGAGTCCCTTGGGTCATGCAGGGGAGCCTCTTGGGCAGTGGAGATGCTCTCAGGACCTGCCGTATGGTGCAGCCTGGCATTTTGTCTGAGCCCAGCAACCTACCTGCCCTGTCCTTCCAGAGTTTGGTGGCAGGGACAGCCAAGGGTTCCCCATGTCTATAATGATGCAGTATTTCACTTGGATCTCATCCTCTAGGTCCATGGAGGGCAAGCATGCGTGAGCTGGCCTCACCTACCTCCTTCTCCACATGGAGCTCATCTTGGACACGTGTCCTCCACCTGTACCCCAGACTGAAGAAAGACTTGCATTGGGCCTGCTGTTCCTGGGCCAGTGGCCATCAGCCAGGTGCCTCGCCCCTGGTGCGCTGAAGCTCAGGCCCTTTCTGGCACCCTGGTGTCCTGCACTGAGCTGTGGTGAGCACATCCGGGTCCCACTAGATACATCCGCGAGGATGGGGGTGCTCTAGGTTGGGTCAATGATGAGAACCTTATATTGTCCTGAAGAGAAATGATGACTTAAAAATCATGCTCAATAGGATTACGCTGAGGCCCAGCCTAGGGGAGAATTTTGGACATGGACACTGGGAATCATGAGGTCCCTGGCAGGGCCACTGCAATTTGGGCTGGAGACCTTGAGGTCCTCAAGGGCCTCTCAGGTGTACCCAACCCTGTCGCTATGCTCCTCCATGAAGCACAGCAGGCTCCCCGTGTGGACTTGGTTTGACCCACCAGTTCCCCAGAGGGTGGGCATATTGGGGGCTGCTCTCTGAGCTCCCGTTCTCCCCTTGTGTCTTTCAGTGAGCTCTTCAGCTCAGAAGGGCCCCTTGGCCTTGACCCGCAGAGGTGAGTACATCCTGCTGACATCCTGAGCCATGAGTCAGTCCACGTGCTCTCCCCAAGAGTTAGTCTTCCCGACTGGAGGGTTTCGTTAGGGAGCTGACCTGTGTCTTCACTGGGGAGGGACAGTTTCTCCAGGAGGGCAGCTTCCTTGGGAATCGTACCCAAGACCTTGCCTTTCCGAAGACCTGCAGGGTAACAGTGGTCCAGGCAGGAAAGTGTTCCATCGGCACCACACAGGGCAACTTCCAGCTGAGACTGAGTGTATGTCAGCCTCGAGAACTGCCCAGGCCACATGAGGGGGTTACAGGGCCTCCGGGGCACCATGAAGATCAGGCAAGAGCTCTCTTCCCCTGGAGGGGGTGCCTGAATAAGGTCATGGAGTCGGGCCGTGGACATTCAAGGATCGCAATCCAACCACGGCCCTAAAAGGGGGGCTGACCTTTTGAGGAATGGACCATCCTATAGCGCCTCTTTGAGCTTGGTGGGGGTCAGTACTGTTTCCCTGGGTGTGGGTCAAGGCTGAGCTCTGGCCGATGCCTGGTGGTGCTGCGGGCAGGCCCTGGGACTTGTGGGCTTTAGGCCATGTCAGCGCCCTCGTCCTGCTGGAGGTCACCCCTTCCCCTTGGGTGAGAGGCTGGAAGAGTGGATTCTGAGGTGGGTAGGCCTGCTGTCGATGGTCCCGTTCTTGGAATTTTCCGCCCAGGCATTTTCTGTGCTACGGGGTCATCTTCAGGGGGGCAGAGTCTTGGGCGTAAGCAAAGGAAAGGACGCTCATGTGGCCCAAAGTTGGCCGAGGGTGGCCCAGCTCATTGTTTTGGACATGTGCGGGGCATGGATGGGGACTCACCTGACACAGCACGTGGCCCTGGGACTCCAGGCTTCTGTTTCAGGTGTGGCTTCAAAGGGCCACACCCAGGGTCAGCCTCTGCTGCTTCCATGTCCAGCAGCACATGGCTTCTGGGCCAGCCTACTCGGTTGGCCATGAGCTGGTTGGTGACTCTGGCCCATGCTCAGTGATCCCAGAACAGCCCTGGGATCTTGCAAAGGGGAAGGCAGAGGGCAGTGGAGGTGCCCTTAAGGTCCACAGTACGGCGCAGCTTGGGGTCTTGCCCAAGCCCAGTGACCTCCCTGCCCTGTTTTTTCAGGGTTTGGTCATGGGGAGGGCCAAGGGTGCCCCGTATCCATGACGCGTCAGTGTTCCACATGGATCCCAACACATGGGTAACCCTTACCCCCTTCCCACATGTAGGCGTGAGACGCTGATTGGATACATGTTCTCCTTCTGTCCCCGCAGATGTTGAGCCTGGAGGAAGACTTATGTGAGGCCCAGTGGAGCCAGGCCAGTGTCTGTCAGCCAGGTGCTTAGCCCCCAGTGTGCTGAAGCTTGGGCCCTTCCTGGCACCCTGGTGTCCTGCACTGAGCTGTGGTGAGCACATCTGGGTCCCACTGAACGCATGTGCTAGGAGGGGGGTGCCCTGGATCGGGTCGATGATGAGTACCTTATATTGTCTTGAAGAGAGGTGATGACTTAAAAATCATGCTCAATAGGATTACGCTGAGGCCCAGCCTAGGGGAGAATTTTTGAAGAGGACACTGGGATCCCAAGATACCCAGCAAGGCCACTATATTTTGAGATGGAGACCCGGAAGCCTTGACGGGCATTTATAGGGGTCCCAACTTTGTCTCCGCTTCTCCACGAGGGTCCCCAGGCTCCCTGTGCAGGGTTGGTGTTGGTGTTCTGGTTCTCTGGGATGGAGCAGGTTGGTGGCTCCTTGCTGAGCCCCTGTTCTCCCACCTTGTGTCTTTCAGTGAGCTTTTCCATCTAGGTGTACCTTCTGGCATTGACTGGCATAGGTGAGTGGACCCTGCTGTGGTCATGGGCCATTAGCCAGGCTCTCTGGGGTTTTCTAGGGCGGCCGGCCTGAATTTCCACCTGGGAGAGATGAGTTCTGCAGGAGGGCTACTTTCTTGGGAATCAGACCCAAAGAGGATGCCTTCCCTGAATCCCTGAAGGGGTGATGGTGGTCCAAGCAGGAAAGGGTTGCTTCACCCCCACTCAGGGCAGCCTCGAGCTGAGACTCAGTGCTTGGGTCAGGCTTCAAGGACTGCCGGAACACATGAGCGGGGCCAGAGGGGCTCTGGTGGCCATGGGGGTCACATAGGAGTTCTCGGTCCCCGAGTGTGGTGTGTGAATGGACCCGTAGGGTTGGGTCATGGAGATTCAAGGACCGTGCCTCAACCATGGCCGTACTACAAGCCCAACCCTGTGTCTGGGCACTTCTTTGAGGCACCCCAGCCCCACTGTTTGGGCTTGCTGTCCGTGCTCTGGTTCCCTGGGACACGTTGGCAGCCCTTTCCTGAGCCCTCCTTCTTCCCTGTGTCTTTCAGTGGGCTCTTCTACCCAGACGGGTCCCCTGGCTTTGAGCGGCATAGGTGTTCAGGACTCAAGCAACAGCATGTGTGCACCCTGTTTTGGTCATGGGTTAGGGGTGAGGCAGCGTGGGGTCATCATGAGTCAGCCTTCGGGTCTCTAGGGTTTTCTGAGGGAGCTGACCGAACACCCACGGGGAGGGATGGTCCCTCCAGGAGGGTCGCTTCCTGGGGAATCTGACCATAGAGCATGCATTTCTTGAAGCCCTGCAGGGGTGATGGCGGTCCAGGCAGGAAAGGGTTTCTTCAGCCCGGGATAGGGCAGTTTCTAGCTGAAACTCCATGGGTAGGTGAGCTCTCGAGGACTGCCCAGGCCACATGAGGGGGGCAGCAGGGTTACTGGGGCGCTCTGGGGCTAACACTGGGGTTCTCCTTCCCCCAGAAGGGTGGGTGATAGAGCCCACATGGTCAGGCTTTGGAGATTCAAGGAATGTTACCCACCGTGGCCCTGAATGGGACTGACCCTGTTGAGAATGGGCCATTTCGGTGGTGCCTCCTTGAGCTTGGTAGGGGCGGTATTGTTTCAGTGCTGTTGGATGAAGGCTGAGCTCTGGCTGGTGCCTGGAGGTGCTGCAGGCCAGTCCTGGGGCTCATGGACTTTGGGAAAGGGGGCAGCTCACATCCTGCTGGGGTCATCTCTTCCTTGAGATCCAGTGATGGGAAGTGTGGCCACCTGAGGTGGGAAGGCCTGCTGTCGAGGGGCCTGTCCTAGGAATTTGCCGCCTAGGCTGCTTCTGAGCCATGGGGTCACCTCCAGGGTGGTGGGGTCTTGAGCTCAAGGAAAGCAGAGGACACCATGTGGTTCCCAATTGACCAAGTGTGGCCTGGCTCTGTGTGTGGGAGGTGTGCAGGGCGTGAATGGGGACCCACCAGAGACAGCATGTGGCCCTTGTGGCCCCAGGCCTTGATTTTCGGTGCATTCTTGGAGTAGACACCAGGGCGGCCCTACCACACCCAGGGTGTGTAGGCCATGGCCCTACCACCCACTCTGCCGTGGCCAGCCCTACAGTGGCTCTTGGCATCAGGACCCGCCCCCTTAGTCATGAGCAGGTTGGTTGTCCTGGTCCATGCCCCATGGTCCCAGTGTGGGCCTGGGGTTGTTTAGGGGAGCCTGCCCTGGCAGTGGAGGTGCTCTTGTGGCCTGCAGTAGGGTAGAGCTCAGGTGTCTTGCTTCAGCCCTGTGACCCTGAGCTCTGTCTGGTGCCTGGAGGTGCTGCAGACCTGGGGCTCATGGTCTTTGGGCCAAGGGGACAGCTCACGTCCCTCTAGGGTCACCCCTTCCTTGAGGTCCAGTGGCAGAAAGAGTGGCCTCCTGAGGTGGGACGGCCTGCTGTTGAGGGACTTGTCCTGGGAATTTGCGACCTAGGCTGCTTCTGAGCGATAGGGCCACCTCGAGGGTGGCGGGGTCTTGAGCCTCTCTTTCCAAGGTTTGGTGGCAGGGAGGGCCGAGGGTGCCTTTGTGTCTATGATGGGTCACTGTTCTTCATGGATCCCATCACATGGATATCCCCTACTCACCTTCCCTGTTTTGATACATGAGGCCCTGGTTGGACACATGTCTTCCTCCTGTCCCTCCTGATGGTGAGCCTGGAGGAAGACTTGTGTTGGGCCTACAGGCCCCAGGCCTGTGTCGGTCAGCCAGCTTCTCAGCTCCCAGTGTGCTGAAGCTCGGACCCTTCCTGCTTCCCTGGTCTCCTGCACTGAGCTGTGATGAACATATCCAGGTCCCGCTGGATCTATGCATGAGGAGGGAGGTTTCCTAAGTTGGGTCAGTGATGAGAACCTTTTCCTATTGTCCTGAAGAGAGGTGATGACTTTAAAATCATGCTCAATAGGATTACGCTGAGACCCAGCCCAGGTGAGAATGTTGGAAGAGGATGCTGGGATCCTGACATTTCTGGCAGGTCCACTGTGTTTTGGGCTGGAGACCTGGAGGCCCTCAGGGCATCCATAGGGTGCCCAACCTTGTCTCTGCACTTTTTTATGATGGTCCCTAGCCTCCTTGTACGGGCTTGGTGTTGGGGCCCCGATCCCCCGGGGATGAGGCAGGTCGGTGGCTCCTTTCTGAGTCCCTGTTCTCCCCTTGTGTCTTTCAGTGAGCTCTTCTGCCCACGTTGGCCTCGCAGCATTGACTGGCGAGAGTGGATGCAGCTGGGGTCATAGCCTATTAGGCCGTCTGGGGTTGCCGAGGTTCAGCCTTCAGGCCACGAGGGTTTTCTCGGGCAGCTGACCTGAATTCCCACCTGGGAGAGATGAGTTCTCCAGGACAGCTGCTTTTTTGGGAATTGGACCCAAGGAGCATGCCTTCCCTGAAGCTTTGCATGGGTGACGGTGGTCCAGGCAGGAAAGGGTTCCTTCATCCCCATGTGGGGCAGACTCCAGTTGAGACTCAGTGTTCGGATCAGGCCTTAAGGACTGCCCAAACACACGAGGGGGGCCACGGTGGCTCTGGGTGCTATGGGAGTCACAGGGGAGCTCTCAGTCCCCAAGTGTAGTGTGCGAATGGACCCATAGGGTTGCATCATGGAGATTCAAGGATCGCGCCTCACCCATGGCCCTGAATGGGACCGTCCCTGTTGAGCAATTGGCCATCCCGGTGGGTCTCCTGGAGCCTGGTGGGAGGGCAGCATTGTTTCCTTGGGTTGGGTCAAGGCGGAGCTGTGGCTGGCACCTGGTGGTGCTACAGGTCAGCCCTGGGACTTGTGGGCTTTGGGCCAAAGGGCACCCTGCATCCCTCTGGGGGTCATCCTATCTCCGGAGTTAAAGTGTCGTGAAGGGTAGCATCCTGAGATGGGAATGCCTGCTGTGAAGGGACTTGCCCAGAATTTTGTTGCCTAGGCTGCTTGGGAGCCAAGGCACCACCATCAGAATAGAAGAGTCTTGGTCCTAAGCAAAGGAGAGGGCACCATGTGTCTCCCAATGGCCAAGTGTGGCTGGCTCTGTGTGTGAGAGGCATGTGGAGTAGGGATGGTGACCAACCAGATAAAGCACGTGACCATGCAGCCCCAGGCTGTGACTTCTGGTGCATGCTTGCAGAGTGCACCTGCACACACACCTCATACTCAGGGGCAGGCCATGCAACTGCCAGGTCTGCAGCAGCACGTGGCCTCTGGGCCAGCCTTCTTGGTTGGCCATGAGGTGGCTGGTGGCCCTGGCCTATGCCCAGCGGTCCCAGGGAGTCCCTTCGGTCATGCAGGGGAACCCTCTTGGGTAGTGGAAGCCCTCTTAGAGCCTGCCATATGGCACAGCCTGGGCATTTTTCCCGAGCCCAGTGACCTACCTGCCCTGTCCTTCCAGGGTTTGGTGGCAGGGAGGGCCAATGGTGCCCCATGTTGGTCACGATTCAGTATCACATGGATCTCCTCACATGTGTTCATGGGGGACGAGCATGCATGAGCTGGCACCCCCTACCTCCTTCCCCACATGGAGGTCATTTTGGACACATGTCCTCCACCTGTGCCCCAGATGGTGAGACCAGAGGAAGACTTGCATTGGCTGCTGTTCCTGGGCCAGTGTCCGTCAGCCAGGTGCCCAGCCTCTGCTGTGCTGAAGCTCAGGTCCTTCCTGGCACCCTGGTGTCCTGCACCAAACCATGGTGAGCACATCTGGGTCCCACTGGATGCATGCATGGGGTGGGGGCTGCACTGGGTTGGGTCAGTGATGAGAACCTTATATTGTCGTGAAGAAAGGTGATGACTTAAAAATCATGCTCAATAGGATTACGCTGAGGCCCAGCGTAGGGGAGAATTTGGAAGACTGTTGAGGAACATTAAGCTTACCCTGCCCCCACGGCTCCCTTGTGGCGGATACTTTTAGTTTGTAATGAGTGATAGGTGGGTAACAGCTGCCTACTTGGTGTGTTTTTAAGTTATATAGAACACCTGTGTATTAATGAGAGTCACCTGTCAAGAGCAAATAAATACGAGGATGAACGCCTGCGCGGGGCCTTCCGTCTGGAGAGTTGTTAGCCCTGCAGGCTCTCGGGCCTTTGATCTCCAGGACAGAGCCGCTCTGTTGTGCTGTTTGGGGGTCTGTCTCTCATACCTCCAGCACCGCCTGGGTGGGGAGGGGTCTCCCGACCGAGCCAGTACTTGGTAGAAGACGACGCTGGGATCTCGAGGTCCCCGGCAGGGCCACTGTATTTTGGGCTGGAGAACTTGAGGCCCTGAATGGCATCTGTAGGGGTCCCAACCCTGTTTCTGCGCACCTCCATGAGGCAGCCCAGGCTCCCTGTGTGGGCTTTGGCTCCCCAAGGGTGGGGCATGTTGGCGGCTCCTTTCTGAACACAGGTTCTCACCTGTTTTTCAGTGAGCTCTTCTGCCCAGGTGGAACCCGTGGCATTAAGTGGCATAGGTGAGTGTATCCTGTTGGGGTCATGGGTCATGAGTGAGGAGGTGTGGGGTCATGGAGGGTCAGCCTCTGGCCACTAGGGTTTTCTCAGAGTGCCAACTTATTTCCCACCCTGGAGGGAACGTTTCTCCAGAAGGCTCGCATTTTTGGGAATCTCACCCTGGAGAACGCCTTTCGTGAAGCCCTGCAGGGCTGATGGTGGTCCGGGCAGGAAAGGGTTCCTTCACCCCAACATAGGGTAGCTCCCAGCTGAAACTTAGTGGTTTTTTCAGGTCTTGAATACTGCCCAAGCCACATGTCGGGGGCTACAGGGGCTCTGGGGCACCCTGGGGGTCACACTGGAGTTCTCCTCCCTGGAGAGTGGTGGGTGATTGGGCCACACAGTCATGCCTCAGAGATTCAAGGAATGTGTCCCACCCACGGCCCTGAATGGGACTGATCCTGTTGAGCAATGGGCCATCTTAGTGGTGACTCCTTGAGCCTGGTAGAGGGTGGTGCTCTTTTAGTGTGTTTGGTCAAGTCAGCTCTGGCTGGTGCCTGGAGGTGCTGCATGCTGACCCTGGGTCTCGTGGTCTTTGGGCCAAGGGGTCACCCCTTCCTTGGCAGTGACTTCTGGCATCAGGGCCAGCCTCCCTGGTTGGCCATGAGCTGGTTGGTTGCCCTAGCCCCTGCCCTGTGATCTTGGTGCAGCCCTGGGGTCATTCGGGAGAGCTGTTGGAAGCAGTGGATGTGGTCTGATGGCCTGCAGTTGGGTGCACCTGAGGTGTCTTGCCTAATCCCAGTGACCTCCTTACGCTGTCTTTCCAGGGTTTGGTGGCAGGGAGGGCCAAGGGTGCCCTGTGTCCATGAGATGGTCAGTGTTCCATATGAATCCCATTCCCATTATGTGAGTCCTTGGAGGATGAGCTTGGGTGAGCCAGCACCCCCTTCCCGCATCCTCTCATGGAGGCATCAGGCCCTGTTAGGACAGCTGTCCTCTTACTGTCCTACAGATGGTGAGCCCAGAAGAAGACTTGCATTCCACCCACTGGTCCTGGGCCAGTGTCTGTTAGCTGGGTACACAGCCCTTGGCGTTCTGGAGCGTGGGCGTTTCTTGGCAGCCTGGTGTTCTGCATTGAGCTATGGTGAGCTTATCCAGGTTCCACTGGTTACTCGTGCAGCAACAGGTGCCCTCATTTGGGTCGATGATGAGAACCTCATTTTGTCTTGAGAGGTTATGTGATGGGTGTGTGGCAGCTCTTTGTATTTCATTTTCTTCAGTGCTTTTTGTGTGTTGTTTGTATATGTTTTTCCCTTCGTGTGTTTGAGTTTCACAAAGGCAGCAGCAAATGTGTTATTGGTGGTGGCATTTTCATCTTCTGTTTCCTTCCTAATTTGGTAGTGTTTTACGTGGAATAGGCAGTCTCATTGTAGTCTTTCAGATGCCTCTTTTTCCTCTGCATTATATGATCGTGGATAATTTTGGCCAGTTGGTTTTTTTTAAAATTGGGGACTTACAGTTCAGTGCAGTGCCCATCTCCTACGTTATTGAAAAAGATTATATGGAATCTAAAGATGAGAAAGGAGACAAGCATGACAGAGGAGATTTATTTTGACATAACCACAGAAATTCATTGATATGAGACTCACACCTAAGGGAATTAGCTTTATACCTGCAGGTAATCTGAATTTCAGTGAGTTTTCCTTTACAATATCTTGATTATCTGAACTTTATACGATTCAATATTGACGATTTTTTAAATTAACCGTTGCCTAATTCTATATTTAATATACATTTGGCTCTAGATACATGACTGTATTATTGTGGACTCTAACCGCGTTTCGCTGTTTTGAGTTACTGATGAACGTTCTGTAACTGTAAGACCATGGTAATGGAGAGGAGAATGTGAGAATCAGTGTGCACTTCACTTATGAAACTTCAGAATTGAGTAATCTGATCACCAAATTGACACCCAAGTTTCACTTCCTGTCATATGTAAACTAAAATGTATCTGAGACAGATCTGTCAGTTTAGAAGTTCATTTTGCTGAGGTTAAGGGCATGCTCAGAAGAAATAAACCCCAAATCACGGTAACAGGCTGGAGTCCATGTCTTTTTCCAAAGATGATTTTGAGGGCTTCAGTGTTTAGAGGAGAAAAGTGGGCTGGCGGGGAAAAGGGGAGGGTTTGAGAATCCATATGCCGCAAGACAGATGAGCAGGTAGGGGAATAGTCAGGAATGTGTCCATCCCTGCCGAGTGAACCAGCACTTTACATAAGAGAAGGGAAACAGAGCAGCCACCTGTGGAGACCTTTAACCTTTAATCTGTAGCTTTCTGCTTAAGGCCAAAAGGAGGTACTTGCATGACTCAGCTTTAACTGATCCTCTGTCCCTTCCATCCCGTGTTGAAGGATGCTATTCTGGATAAACATCGAGACAGCGTAAATACATGTATGAAGAGTATCTTCAGGAGATGTAATAATGTAAAAGTCATGCTCAATAGGATTAAGCCGAGGCTCTAAAGCAGCAGCGATCCTTGCAAGAAGGTGTGAGAAGTCATTAGATTTGGGGGTATGGGGTATTCTGAGCTTGGTAGGAAGAAACGCTTCAGGGAATCTTGCTTCATTCACCTCTATCTGCATGCAAAGGAACTTTTAAAATACTTTTGTCTTGATCTTCATGTCTTTATTCTTAATACTCATATATTATTAGAGTGAATATCTTGGTTTACTTTTTCCTCATGGTGTGCTTCAGAATGTTCAACCAGGTGTGTCATTACATGGGTTATATATGTTAGTTCTGTCTTCGGTAATTAAATTCCAAGTGGACCATTAGAATATTAAACAGTGGCTTTGAAAATGATTACATTTACCTGTTTATACAAAATAGGTGAGCAGTGATCTATTCTTTCCCATCAGTGAGGGATCTAATGGGGTCCTCATTTAAACTTTTTTTACTGAACATACTTTGACTTAAAGATGGAGACATTTAGTAATTCATTGCAGTCAACTCTTTAGTGATTGTACAAATAGTACATTTCTGTTGTTTTATTTTTTTTGGGTTGCTGTGTGTGGTGTTACGATATTTGTGGATCATTGAGGCACTCCTCACAACTGGAAGACTGGCAGTTTTAGGGAATGGCTTGAGATTCAGCTGTATGTTACCCTTGATTGAAATGGAATATAATACAGGTAGTAGAAATCTCTTTACTTATCCCGAGTCTTACTCAGTGTCAGGCCTCCATGCGCAAGCCTGGACCCAGAAAGTCTGAAGTCCTGGCTGATTGCCCCCAACCCCCAGCCTGCGTTTGTCGTTATCCCTGATCTCCCAGTGAAGCTTCCCCCGGACATAAAGCTTCTAACCCCACCCTGCCATCTTAACTGTTATTATGATACTATGAATACTGCTACCATCTTACCTACTCTTTTGCCTCGTCCCACCCGCCATTGTAACTAAACTTACCCCCACCACTATAACTGATCTTACTCTGTAACACCCCTGCCCCCTCCCCAAAAGATTTGCCCCAACCTATAAAACCAGCTCCTATCCTGCCACCCTTTGCTGACGCCCTTTTTGGCCTTAGTCCCCGTGTACCCAGGCGAATAAATCACACAAAGCCTGTTTAGAGGGTTTCTTCATTCAAAGCGTGCGTTTTAACACTCAGGTGTCCTTGGATTCAGTATAAAGAAATTCATATATTCTGTTGAGTGGAGTGTGTATGATGCCAGTTGTTAACTGAGAGGATAAACTTTTTTTTTCCATAGGGAAATTACCTCTTACCAGGTCGTCAAAAGTCATGATACCTATGTGTGTGGCCCTTGCTGTACACAGGTAATCAGTGGTCTACCGTGGCTTAAGTGACGGGACATATTTGGAGTATCACACATCTCAGTCTTATAGAAATTAGGAATAGCAGTTGGAAGTCATGCACATGTAAGAGATGGAATCCCACCCTTTGACTGTAACCTACTCTTGTCTTTTACAGAAAAGACTGGAGGAAGAAAACCCTTGACCCTGTTGTTCAGGGAGAAACTGATAGCACAATGGTCTGGCCCTGAGGATGTGGCATCCAGTCCACTTTACCACCAGTGTTTAAGGAAACCATCTCAGGTAAGTATGTGTATCATATGAGTGCCATGGGCTGGGCCAGTGATGACATGTTCTCTTGAAGAGAAATGATGACACAAAAATTAAGTTTGGTTTGATTATGCTGAGGCCCAGCCTAGGTAACAATTGTAAGACAAGTTTGGATTTCTTAGTTTCCCTCCATGGGGATTTTATTTTGGGATTCTGGCAATGTAATCTTTCTGTGAAACTTGTTTTGCATACTTCTAACTGTGTGCTTCTAAGAAAACAGCAAATTCTGATTTTTTTTTTTTTTCTTTTTTTTTTTTTGAGACAGTCTTACTCTGTCACCCAGGCTGGAGTGCAGTGGCACTATCTGGGCTCACTGCAACCACCTCCTCCCAGATTCAAGCGATTCTCCTGCCTCAGCCTCCTGAGTAACTGAGACTACAGGCATGCACCACCATGCCCAGCTAAGTTTTGTATTTTTAGTAGAGATGGAGTTTCACCAAATTGGCCAGGCTGGTCTCGAACTCCCGACCTCGTGATCTGCCTGCCTCAGCCTCCCAAAGTGCTGGGATTACAGGTGTGAGCCACCGCGCTGGGCCTGAATTCCGATTCTCTAAGTTTACTGTAATTCCTAATTTACGCTTCCTGTAATTCCTAATGTTCTTAGAGACTTAGCTCTTTTTCTCTCATTGGGTGATTTATTAAGTCCTACTGGCACTATTCGATTGAGTGGAGGTGAGAGGCTGCCATTGCTGACTGAAAATTTCCAAATAATAATTACATTTATTCATTCTGAAAACATGAATATCATGATAGGGTTTTCTTCTCAGTGATTGACACGTGATGCTATTCTCATGAGAAAATCCTTTTTGCTTACAATTGATTGTTTTCAGGCTTGAGAAGTATGATACATTGAAATTTTACTCAATGCACTGTAGTCATTGTGGTTTAAATATACAGGTAAAATTTTCTGTAATATTAGTATAATATTTTAACAGTGCTAGGATATGTTGTGATCATTGAAGATTCTTTATGACTGAAGTAGAAATTTGCCCAGAATTTTGTCAGCAAGTTGTCTGTAACCATCTTTATTTGGAGACTGTCCCTGTTTTTGTTAGTGACTGCCTCTCTCTGGTTCTGTACATCAGCTTACTGCTTACTGACTGGAAAACCTTAAGAGAAACTGCCACGTTGTCTAAAACCTGCTGTGTTGTTTAAGTCCTGAGTTACTTCCCCTGCCCCTTTACCTATAAAAACTGTACTGTTTTAAGCCAGGTTCCAGACTTTTGGGTGCCAACCCTTCTTTTTTTTTTTTTTTTTTTTTCCCCGAGACAGAGTCTCGTTCTGTCACCAGGCGCCAGGCTGGAGTGCAGTGGCGCGATCTGCGCTCACTGCAACCTCCACCTTCCGGGTTCAAGCAATTCTCCTGCCTCAGCCTCCCAAGCAGCTGGGACTACAGACATGCGCCACCACGCCCAGCTAATTTTTTTAGATTTTAGTAGAGACCGGGTTTCACTATGTTGGCCAGGATGGTCTTGATCTCTTGACCTCATGATCTGCCCACCTCGGCTTCCCAAAGTGCAGGGATTACAGGCATGAGCCACCGCACCTGGCCTAGGGTGCCAACCCTTCTGGGCCTGCCAGCGTAATAAAGTCTGTTCCTCTGATCCCCTGAGTGCTGCTTGGGTTTCTAGTCGGGTGAGATTTTCCAGAACAGAAGGATCTTTGCAATTGGGGTAGAAATATGAGTTTCAATAGTATGTGTTTGTCATGAAATTTGAAATTGGATAAATTCATGAGCAATCTGGTGCCTAACTTTCCCTTCCCAAGCGTTTGGCTTCGATTTTGTTATGATGCCAATGGTAAATTAGACCTTTATACACACTTACGTGAATGACAGTCAGGGCCATTCCTTCAGGCAACATGATTACCGTCATGCATTCTTCTTTACAATGAATGACCAGCATACTTGATGGGATATACAAGAGGGAAACTATTTTTCACTAAAACTGCATTGATACAATGTTGACAAGTTTTGTGATTATTGGTATCTCTAAGATGTGATATTTATTTGGTCTAACTATAGAAGTTAACATATTAACTTCTAATTTGTATATGTCAAGTTCCTATGTTTTTTCAGTGTTTGTGGTTTATTGATGACTCACAACATAAAGACTATGGCATTATGGCTACATGTTAGAATTCTGATACATACACATTCCATCATTCACTAAATTAAATACAATTATGAGTAGTATGATCTGTTTTCTAAAATCTGAGTTTTGCCTGGCTCCAGTATGATGATCATATGATGGAGTGCAAGCAACGTGGTGATGCCAATTGATAAGGCTTCCTTCAATATGTAAACAAGGGTGATCAATTGAAAGTCTTATTTCTGCATTAAACTACCTGAGATTTTCTCCAAATTCAAGAGACCTGTGTAGTTAGGCTATAGGCCATTCTTTCATCAAACAGAATAAAGACTATCTAGTGGATCATTTTTTCCAGTACTAATCATGTCTCTTCATTAGGAAATAGCATGCTAAGCCATACATACAGGAATTAATATTTCTCATCTTGATCTACTGTCTTACTCTTCTCCCCTTCGGTAAGGATGATTGAGGGAAAGTGCTCTTTGGCTTTAATTAAAAGATTAATTAAAGTGCTCTTTAATCAGGAGAAAGATGACTTAATCATAGTAGATCTTCACAGAAGTTCACAGCAGCGCAGCTGACACACCCAGATATCTGTGGTCTCCTGTAAACTTTCAACCAGGACTTAAGGATGCCATTTTGGTAGGTGTTTTCAGACAAAGTGAATGTATGAATGTGGAGTTTCATGGCTGTTTCAACAATACGACCTTATTCTGACTTGAGGGTATGAGATGACACAAAAACTAGACTGACTAGCCCTTATCTTTTCTGGAGTATTCTAGTTTGAGCTTAAGATAAAGAAATACATCTTGAGATAATAGTTTCTCTCACCTCTTTCTATTAGCTTCTAGAAGATCACTTGTCAATTTTTTCTTCCTGATTTAGTAGAAAACATTTTGGCAGGTCCTCAAAAGGTTAAACGTAAAATTACCATATAACCTGACAGTTCTACTCCTGGGTACACACTCAAAAGAATTGAATACAAATGTTCAAATGAATACAAGTACATGAATGTTCATAGCAGCACTATTCAAAAGAGCTAATAGGTACAAACAACTCAAAATCCCATCAGCTGATACACACAATGTGGTATAGCCATATAATGGAATATTACTCAGCCCTAAGGAATGAAGTTATGACATATGTTTCAGCATAGATTAACGTCAGAAGCAGTATGCTAAGTGAAATAGGACAGCAAAAGAGATACATACTGTATAATTCCATTTATATAAAATATCCAGAATAGATGAATCCATAGAGACAGAAGGCAGACTAGTGGTTGTGAAGAGCTAGAAGGTAGGATACAATGGGAGATTGACTGGTTGATGAGTTTACTGTTTCATTCTGGGATGATTAAAATGTCTTGGAACTAGATGGACATGGTGGCATAACATTATGGCTGTACTAAAAACTTTAAAGTGTACACATCAAGCTGGTTAATCTTATGTGAATTTTACCTCAATAAAAGAGTAGACCCAGAACTTCAGTTACTTCAGTTCTGTTATTTTATGTTACCACTTTTTATTTTATTTCAAATTTAAAACAGAAGGGGGGTGCAAACAAAGTATTGATGGTATATAGGGAATTCTAGGTTTCCATTTCTTCCCACTAAAATATGTGGCAAAATGTGTCTGAATCAACCTTACTGGAACTCTGGTAGAAAAATCAGGTTTGTAAAAATTAAGAGAATGTTTAATCGGGAGAAAGAGACTTAATCATAGTAGATCTTCATAACATTTTAATTTACTTTAGTCCTGCCTGCTCCACACAGGGAGCAGAGAAGACCTTGTCCCCAAGGAATGATGTTTTTGTCTTTTGACCTGATGGAAGTTTCCCCAAAGGACTCACATAGGGGCCTTTGCTTTGTTTCGCCTAGGCCAAGATTCTTTCAGGGCAGAGGACTTTTCCCCTAAAATATTGAAAGGCAAATGAATAAGCCATTGCTGCCTGGGACCTGGAGAATTTTTAACTTTATTATTCATTCTAGACATTTAGAGAAGTCTATCAGGTCACTTGCTAGCTTCTAAGAAAGTGGAAAAAGACTTCCATGACCATACATGACAAGAAATAGTATTTTCAAAAAAATTAATTTGGAAAGGGCACTAAACAAATAGGTGACCTGACTGTAGCCCATCAAACGCGACGTCAAACCCTAGATAGAAAAGAACCTGATTTCCAGAGTTACCGCATTATCATATTCAAAATGTCCTAGCTGAAGGTCTGGCTGTGACCTCTGTCACCCCGCTGATTGCCAGGATTGATTTGGCCGATCTCTCTAGGCAGGTGGGCCCCCTTCCATCCTCACAGTTGCGCCTGTCTTACTCCTGAGCATACTCTTGTATGCACAGTCAAAGAAGGCATTCCCGGGTAGAAGAGAACCATTCTTTGGTCAAGGGTATAATGGTTGCTGTGTTCCCTGGTAGAACCTCCAAACAAAATGTCCTAGCTGAGTGTAGTGACTCCAGCCTATAATCCCAACTCTTGGGGAAGCTGAGGTGAGAGGATCGTGCGAGCTCAGGAGTTCAAGTACAGCCTGGGCAACACAGTAAGACCCCATCTCTAACAATAAAAATGAATGATCCAGGTGTGGTGGTATGCACGTGTAGTTCCAGCTGCTCATGAGGGTAAGGCAGGAGACTGAGTTCAGAAGGTTGGGCTGCAGCGAGCCATGAGATTGTGCCGCTGCAGTCTAGCCTGGGTAACAGCAAAACCACGTCTCAAAAACGAACAGAAAGATATTAACAAACTGTCCCAGAGGGAACAAAGACATTAGACTGAATAGACTAGACAAATACATGTGTAGTTAAGCTCTACACGTCTAACACGGATCAGCAAACTCCAAGTAGAATAAACTCGGAGATCTACAGCAAGAAACATAATGAC